CTTTCTTTCTTTCTTTCTTTCTTTCTTTTTCTTTCTTTTTTTGTATGGCTCCTACAAATCGGAAAGCTTTCTGGAGTGAGGTAAAAATGTTGGGCTTTCAAGCAAAGTACATGGTGCGTAAAGTGTCCTGATGAACTTGCACAGCCTTGGCGAGAGCCTGAGGATCTCGGCCGTTGCTCTGGCCAGAGATGTGGCTGCCTTCTCCGCTGAAAGAGCAGAGGGAAAGGAGTGGGGATAAAACAGAGCATTAATTAGCACATGAAACTGCTGCGGACGAGGACGACAGACTTTGCAGGGGAATCGCCGTCTGCAAAAACGGCACAGCTTTATTCCAGGGGTTGGATGTTTGGGAACTTCAGCTCCCGGCCACACTCCCAGCATTTCTATAAGGCTGGATTTCAGACTTGCAAGATTCTGTTAATGTAATCTGACAATAAAGTAGAGCTGATACATCATGGTGTGCTTCTTGTCTGGACCACCTCACAAGGTTAACATCAATCTTGCAAGTCTGAAAGTACATTTCTCCCCCGTCGCCTTTACAGCCCAAGAAACTAGGGAGGGCCCCTTCTGAGACATTTCCCACACCCCATTCCTTCTGTGGGCTAAGCTGCCTCTTATCTGACTGTTGCCCTGGCTGTGGCTCTTTCCCGTCTCCCAAGGTAGTTCCCACATACCATTATAGTACTGGACTTATATCAGTTTTTTCTGACTGGCAGCCTCCAAATATGTCTGGATAACAATTTTCAGAATTCCTAGCCAATGGGAGAATTCCAGGGACAGCAGACCCAATGGGTCTAGAGCATGGTCTCCAAACTTTTTTCATCATCCACCTTTACCAGTAATAAAATGTTGAGCATGCAGCCCCTATAGATGTATTTATTTATAAATTATATACCTGTACTACTGTACTAATACATGACATACATTATAAAACCTACCCCACCAAAATAAGCATTAAAAAAAGGATAACGGTGAAATAAGGGAGATTTTACTATTTTCTTCTCACTCCTCCTTAGGGAGACCATTTATTCAGAGGACTGGTTGGAGAAAATGGCAAAAGAAGAGTTCTCCACCGGAATAATACATGGCTGTATGTATGTACGTATGTATGTACAGGTAGTCCTCAGTTTAAGAACGAGTTCTGTTCCCAAGGTCTGTCCTTAAGTCGAATTTATATGTAAGCCAGAACAGTATTATTGTATAATGAACACAACCCATTGTGTATTTAACCTGAATTATCGTGTATTTAACTCGAATTTTGCTATAATAGGCTCCATTCTTAACTATGGGTCATCCATCAGCCGAGCGTTCTTATCTCGGGAACTACCTGTATGTACATATCCAAACATGGAGAAAACAGGAAACTATTCCTCAGGTCATGTTTTTCTTCTTTATTCCTAAATAGAATTGAGTTCAGCCCTCTTGTTCCCACAGCCCAATCACTCCCGATAGAAAAGCAACATTTGAGCTGCAGCATTGCTCATGATCCTTGAAAGTTTTGGGCTCCCAGGGACTTCTGGACGTTTCCCAGCTGGATTAGCTAAGGTCAGGTGAAAGGAAAATAATCCATTATATTTCATTTTAATGAAATGGAAATACATCCACAATCAGTTCTGGTCCTGGAGCTACTCAGTATTTCTAGGAGCACAACCCTCACTCCAAACTGCATACCTCTGTTAGATAAAAAGCTCCTTCCTTTCCTCCTCCATGAACCTGGTGATGTTAAAGACAATCTAGGGGGGACAAAAACTTTTCCAGGCTGGGGGCTGCTTTTTGCCTTCAGACGGCATGCTGGGGAAATGGTGGGGAGGGGAATACGCAGCTGAAAAAGTATGTGAACAAAGATGAAGCTTAAATTTGATTTAGATGATATACAGTTAAGATGGTTTCTCTCCAGAGATGCCTAATAACTCCCCGTTCATGCATTCCCAATGTAAATAATCAACAACTTCCAAAACAAGATTTATCTGTAATACATATTTATCCTTTTTCTAAACAAAAGGTGGCATTGTTGGACAACCTTTTACTCCAAGAGTGGAGAATATATGTCCTTCAGGGTTGAACTGTCGGGTTCTTGGTGTTCTCTGAGCTTAGCTGTTTTTCTACAGACGTTCGGTTACCAGGCTGGGTAACATTATCATTGTACTGGTAACGAAATGTCTTCAGGAAAATAACCAAGCTCAGATAACACCAAGAACCCAACCTCCTACTCACCAACTCCATCCAGTGGTGGACATGGAACTATGCCAGAAGCATCTCCATTGGTGGAAGTCCAGCTACTCACCTGTCATGCTCTTTGTCTACAAGGTGATATCGTGCCCGGAAGGCCACCAAACGGGCATAGTATGCTGGTGCTGGGATAGAAACAGAGCGGGTACAACGGACGTATGTGTGACAAAGCTGGTAGGTGAGGATTTGGAGCTCATCTGCTGTAAACCGGTTATCGTCCCAAAGCACGTAGTAATGGGAAGGCCTGCTCGTACCCTACAGGAGAAGGTAGGAATAGAATGAAAGGGGAATGAGTGGGAGTCGAGAAACATTACTTTACCAGCGCAACAATGAAAGCATGCTTGGATGGTGGCACAGGAAAGAAATGTGTATCTATTATAGAAAAGTCACCATCACCAACAGGGAAGTTTTCCAGTTAGGCAGCCCACATCCCCCCAAACTCTCCTAAAAGTATCATTTCTGCAGCACAGGCCATTACACTATCCTGCTAGGCACAGTTGCAAACATTTCCAGGATCACATGAAGCCCCTTGAGCATCTAGCAAGCTCTGGTTCATGCTGGGAGACATAATCCCCACACATCTGGAGGAGACCAGATCAAGACAAGCAGCTCCACTTGAACCCCAACCACCTCTGCAATGTCAAAACACCACAGATCCCATCAGCTCACAGCACCTCCTTGCCTTCCTTCCTCCCTCAGATAACGGCATGAAACAATACAGGCTGCTGCTATTCTAGGGACCTACATACATATTAAGCTGATGCCCAAACAGCTGTTTCCTTGCTTTATTGCTTCCCTATAGAGGTGAGGACAGAGATTAGAGGATTGGTACTGCAGCCCCCTTCCCCTGTCAGGAAGGAGAAGAGGGAATGGACAAAAACCGCTTGATAACCGATCTCAGGCTTGACCAGGACTTCTGCGTCAACACTGAAGCCTTCAACTTCTTCTGAACCAGAAATTTCTGACCTTGAAGATTCTTCTTGACCCAGTTCAAAAAGAGCAGTAGCAAAGGGTCAGGTATCCTTTTTGGGGAAAGGGTTACTTAGAACATTGGTCCTAGCGGCATCAGCAGGGGGTGTTGGGGGCAAGAGAGAACAAATGACAAAAGCAACATGGCCTCATGCAACACAAGCTCTGCCCCTTTTGTTCAGGTGTCGTGATGTTGTATGCCCGTACAAAAGGGACCGAGTTGGCATCGCAACAACGTGGTGCTGCTTTCATCATCTGGATGAAGGCACTGAATCTTGGGGATGCCTCTGCTTGATCTGACTTGGAATTGCTCTCCATACTCGCTCTTTTGGATCTCTGGAATGGTCTCTGTCGTTCTGATCCTTGGGAGTGGACTTTGGCTGCTGTTGCTGTTCCTCACCACAGCCAAAATCGTCCGTGTTCCAGATCTTGCCTTACAGATGATACGGATTCTGCTCGTACCCCTCAGACAGACAGGTGGCAAACTGAAACGTCTTCTGAGATTAGGGTTAGTTCTTCTACTCACTAATTTTGTCAGTTTGGCTCTCCCCCCAAACATGGACTTCCATCCCTAGAATCTGCAGCCATGGCAGAGGATGCTGGGAATGGAAGTCCACCCCATCTGGAAGGACGGTGGCCTGGCCCACCCCTGCCAGGAGGCCGTTAAAAAAAAGATACCTGAATGCCAGCATGGCTGCACAGGTAGAAGTCAAACTCAAAAGGGTGAGTAATGTTCGTATCGACTGTAGTTCCTGCTGGGATGTTCCCACTTTTGCCAATCTGCCCAAGAAAAAGAGAAAAAAACAAGGATAAACACAATTGCCAGGACCTTCAATTCTACAATTCTGCAGTGCAGAATCGGTGCACAAAGTCTGAGTTATAGGCATATGGTTTATTTACCACGATGCACAGTTTTTGGTGGGAAGCGTTTTCCCACAGCTTCTGCATCTGCTGTCCTGCAACTCCAACTTTATCAAAATCAGTGTTTCTTAAACTGTTTGACCCAATTTATTTTATTTTATTTATTTATATATCGCATTTATAGACCCACCCATCTCACCCAAAGCGACTCTAGGCAGTGTACAACAATTAAAATAACAAGTGAATGAAAAGAGGCATTATAAAAAGATAAAAAGTTATTTATTCAAATAAAAACATGATTGCAAATTTCAAAAAAAAGTCCTGGCCTCGAATAATGTCATTATCCCTACAAAGAGCCTCTGTTGTTTTACACAAGCATCTCAACAGCGGCAGTCCCAAACTGGACCCTCAACTCACGAACAACAAATTGCTCCATTACCCTCAGGGTATGCCCAAATTACCCCCCCCCCCACACACACACACAGACACTGTTTTGGAACCATTGATCTAGACAGTGATCAAGTCTTGATGCTCAGGGTAAGGTGTCTCAGCAGCCTTCTAGTTGCAGAACGCTCTTTCTGAGGCTCACCCTCTCATTCTTGTCTGCACAGAAGAGGCGAGTGTGGTGTCTTTTCTGGACCACAATGTAGGTGATGCCCGGCTGGTAGTCTTTCTCCAGTTTGATGCAGGCGTCCCGAATGGCCAGAAGTTCATAGTGAAGGATCTAGGGGGGAAGGAAAACAATACTAACACAAGGAAGAGAGAAGACACTTTGAGGAGTCTTTTGTGCCCTCTCCCCAAAAGGGCCTGTAACAGATTGTGTAGAGGACGGAAGGAATGGCCTTGAGGGACGGGAGGAAGAGCCACAACCAAGGCCAGATCTGTAATCTGAGAAAGCATCTCAGACAAGACCCTCTCCAGTTCTCATGAAGATAAAGGGAGGGAGGGGGAGGTGCATTCAGACTTGCAAGACTGTTACTATAACTTTACAATAAAAGTAGTACTGACCTACATGACATCGGGTTCCTAGTCTGATCTACCTTGAAGGGCTGTGAAGATTGTCACAGTTGCACTGAGTCCCTTTCCCTGGACATTACAGCCAAGGAAAATGTGGACATCCTCAATTTGGCCTGAGCAGCAAGTGTTAGACCAGGGATGAGCAACCTGCTGCCCACCTGCCATGGAGTCCTCCAAAGATCACGGGGGGGGGGGATGTGCACGCGTCCTTGTCTTTGGCTTTTCTCAAAAAGTTTAGCAAAGACACAGACGGATGATGCAAACAGAGGAGACCGCCAGAAAATCCCAGGGCTGTGAGCTAGACTGAGAAGTTGAAAAAACATCCCAAAAGCCACTTCTGCACAGCTGCGAAGAAAACTACCCAGACATGCCCATATAATCACCAGGAGTTGAGCTTGCCTGAAAAGAGACTTTACCTTGAGACATACTACAGGCAGTCCTCACTTACCAAATGCCTCATTTAGTGACCATTCAAAGATACAATGATGTAAAAAAAAAAAAGCTTTGTGGCCAGTCCTCGCATTTACAACCATCGCAGTGTCCCATGGTCATGTGATCACCATTCGTGTGCTTCCCAACCAGCTTGCACAAGCAAAGTTAATGGAGAACACAGAAGTAAAATCACAAGTCACAGTCGCATGATGTCTCGCTTAGCAACCACGGCAGTTACTGACAGAGTTGCTGGTCCCAAGTGTGGTCGTTAAGTGAGGACTAGCTGTATATCTGTCCAATAGGCTTTAAGTATCCATTTTATTCTTTTAAAAAAACCCAACTCAAAGGGCTGAAAATTCCAGCCCTACTTTCTTTGTGCAGCTCCTGGTAACCAAGAAGTTGTTCACTGAAGGTTAAAAGTTAGGAAGATCCAGGAAAATCTTAGCTATAACACAACTATGTGGATTAGCAACAGTAGCTTCATACTATACATTTGGAAGTTGTAGTCCCACAGTATCTAAAGGGAGGGTTGCTCTACCAGCCCAAGGTGGACCAGAGAGGAGGCTCCTCCTCCTGTGCAGCACCTGATCTTCCAGGGGTGGTAGGAAGGAGAAGTCTTCCTCACCTGTGGCAGTTGTCCCTCAGGCACACCATCCCGGTAGAAGATAATCCGTGTTGGCTTGAAGCGCGTGGACTTGTAGAACTGGATGAGCAGCTCTCGAACCATATAGGAAAGGTCTTCAATAATTTCCTGGCGTGGCCGCTGTACCCGAACCGTGGCACAGTAGCGGCTTGGGTGGGCATCCATGCTGCCCACCACCTACAGTCAACAAAGGGGCAATGTCTATGACTTGCTCACCAGTGAAACTGAGAGGCAACAGATATTAGATGGATCTCAAATCTTTATATAACATTTTTGGCTGACCTGGGAAGGGGAGTCTAGAAGGAGGGGAAAGCACTGATTGTGATGGAATGGACTTATGAAGGCCAGGCTCAGGGAGATAAGCGTGTTCTTAGCCCC